TAGGAACATGCAGATTTGAACTACAGAAACATAACCATTTCCATGCCTGCTAAGGACAGCTAAAATTAAAAGACTGACCACCCAAGTGCTGATGAGCTGGTGAAGTCGGTCAAACTGTCTCACACAGAGGGTAGGACTCTAAGATGGTATGAACACTTTTCTTGAAAATTTAAACATACTTCCACAACACGACCCAGCCATTCTGCTCCTAGGTATTTACCAAGAGAAATGAAAGCATGTTTGTACAAAATCCACCTAAAAAGCAAGTCAAAACTCCCTGAGCTGCAATTCAAACCTGGGCTGCACCCTGCAGGGTGAAAAGCTATGAGTTGGCTCACCCAGAAGACTTGCTGAGGGCCTGAGGCAGCTCCTCCAGTGGTAGAACCGGGGACCTAAACCTGCCTGTCCCTCCCCACTCTCCTCCCTCTATCCCTCACTGCCAAGCCCTGCGACTACACTCCAATAAAATAGAGGCTGTGCTTTCTGGGGAACCTAGAATAAGATAGGCCTGCTTAGCACAAAAGTCACCAAACACCTCACCCAGTCCGTGAGTCCTCCTCTCCTTAAAGATGATAAATAAATGACCTCTTGTCCTCCCTCCTCTGCCTCTCTGCCACCTGGTCCCCTGAACTCTGGAAGGCATCTGTCCCACAATGCTTTCGTTTTTCTCTTCATCCAGCCGCCTCTGACTTCCTTTGGTTACAAACACCCAGCCAAGTTGTCTTTTTCTGGAAGTGGCTTCTTTGAGGTCTCTTGCTGAACAATTGCTCAGGGCTATCACGGAGTTTCCTGAGCTAGAGATAAAACCTTTCTCTTCCCAGGCCTCATAACCCATCCTTCTCTCGGGGAAGTTTCTTAATAGGGTTTTCTGATAAAAGCAGACACCACGTGGTCCATTTCCCTTAAACCTTGCCCTCTTCCCCCAGTGCACAGGGCTTCTTGGGCCTCCCTGGCAACCACCACAAAGGCGTCAGTGTCACCTCCCAGCCCGTCCCTGCACCCTGGGGTGAGCTCTGATGTCTCAGCAAAAGTCCTGGACCCTTATTCCTGCCTCCAAGGCTTCTCTGCTGCTCTGTAATATAGAAAGAACTGGGGACCTGTGCAGAGTCAGGGCTTTACAGCCCGCTGTGCCTTGGCTGCTTAGTTGTAGAACGGGTATGAAGACACGTGGTCCCTGCCCCACGGTGGGAAGGTCAAATGAGAAATGCACCTGGTGTGGAGCATGACGCCCAGCACGTGGCAGGCAGGTGAGCACAGCAGCCTCTTGGGCCATGGCAGCACAGACTGGGACATGTCCCCCAAACTCTCTTCCCTCCTCTTTCCTCAGTCAAAGAACCAGAACAGAGCTGGGCACAGCTGAGCTGAGCTGCCTGGAATAGAGCCACTTCCAAGCACCCCTGGAAACTGGGCGGGCGGCATGACTGAGAAGAGCAGGTGGCAGCATGAGTGAGAACATGGCCCACAGTGCTGTGCCCAGTGCTGCTCCTCCCTGCTGCTTGCTGACTGGAATGCAGATGTAGTGACTTCAGTGATTGTGGCCATCTTGAACTTTGCGGCCAGACTGGGATACAAACTGACCATGGTGGGTCAGCAGGGTGAGACAGGCCCAAGGAGCGCCACACCAGCTCTGGACTGACCACCTCAAAACTTTGCAAACAGGAAAATATATATATATTTCCACCTTGTTGAAATCACTATTATTTTGAGCTTTCCTGGGACAGCCAGACCTAACCCTAACCAACAGTTGCAAGAATTATCAGCTACGATGATCACACGATCACGCACCAGGCTTGACGCAGGTGCAGAGGCAGCTTGAGATATGTTTCCCACAACCAGCAGCTTTATTAGGACCCTGACCTCATGCCACCTGCCTCATGTCAATGACCTGTCCTACTCTGGTCCTGCTCACTCCTAGGAGCTTCCCTGTGACCATGCCAAGTGGGACTTTGACCTCCAAGTTCCTGCCTACCCCTCACAGAGGGACCCAGGGAAGACTGTGCCTAGGACCCTGCTGTCCCCACCACCTTCTTCTCCACCTGGGTTCATCCACAAGAGCCACAAACCCCATAGACCCCAAAGTCAGGGGACCATGGCCAGGGGAGCCCCCACTGAGTAGGGAGGTGGGGGAGCAGGAGGTCAGGCAGCATTCGGCGAACACTTTCCATACCTGGAGCTGTCCCATCCCCAAGGAGAGCACAGGGAACAGAGGAGAGAGAGCAGGTTAGTGACCGGTTAGCAGCCAACACCCCATACAGGTAGCTCTTCTCAGGGCCCCCCAGCCCTGAAGGTGGGCTCTAACCTCTGACCCCCTCCTGCTTCTCTGCCTCTCACCCCACAGAGACCCCATGTTTGGCCAAGCCTCCTTCCTGGGCTGGCACTGTTTACTGATGGTTCCTGGGGAGGGTGGAGGGTTTAGTCAGAATGCTCAATTAAATAATCACTTGAGTTTATTGCTAAGTGGGGGGGGGCAGCTGTCAGCCCCCAGGCTGGGTGTCTGTACATGGAAGGTAGGGACCTCTTCCCTGAACTCTCAGTGGAAGACACTTCCCACCTCCCGTTGCTGGGGGCTGTCAAGAGAGCCCCATGTTGGAAGCACCAATGCCAGGGCGGGCATCAGCAGCAGGCGGCAGCCGGCTCACCTTCCAGATACTCGCCTCCTTGCCGTACACCACGGCCATGTTGCTGGCCTTGCCGCCTTTGATGAGCTGCTTCTCCGTCTCGTTGAGCTCCTCAGACACGAAGCCCATGAAGGAGTTGTCCGGGGTGTGAGCTGCAGCCCGATCGCGAAGAAGGGAAGAGGGTTACCGGACAGCCAGGGACACACCCCAGGTCTCCCTTGAGTGGGTGGGAAGGGGGTGTGAGGTGGAGGTCTGGTGGAGAGAGAGTGTCCTTTCACAGAGACTGTCATAAAGCTTGGAGTAGAAGGAAACCCAAGAGATCATCTATCCCCGGCTCCTTTTCAGCTGATGAAGCTGAGGCTTCTGCCCTCCTCAGGGCCCCTGGGCCCCAAGCTTCACCGCACCTGCATCTCATCTCTTCTGGCCCTCCATGTGTACCTGGCAGCTGAGTGCATCATCCCAGGGGGAGGAATTTTTTTCCATCTTCTCCACCCAAACCCTGGCCCAGGCCACCATCCCCTCTCGCAGGGGCAGGATGAGAGCTGCCTCCCCTCCCTGTGGCTCTCTCCTGAGTGATCCTTTCTAAGAGTGATCCTCTCTAATCTACATCTCATCAGATCCCTCCCTGCACAAAACCCCCCAAACCAAGTCCCCACAACAACCTCGGCCCACCTGCCCACCCAGACCCTGCTCTCCATGCAGGGCTGTGTTCGGCGGCCTGCAGAGGTCTCTCCCAACCCGGCTACTTGCGGGACACTTACTTGCTCTATTTTTTTGTCATTACTCACTGACCAGATCTTAAATTATGTATTTATCTGTTCATTTATAATTGTCAGAACATGAGCCCCCGAGGACAGCGCTTTGTTCTATCCACTTCTGTGGCCTCTGCTCCTGACGCAGAGCCTAGGCTAGCTGAGAAGGGTGGACAGGACATCTTCCCTCACACCTCCCAGCAAACCACCCAGCTTTTGCCCCTTCTGCCTGAACTGCCCTCCTGCCTCTTCTTGGAAGAAAAAATCCTAGTCAGCCTTCCAGGCTCCACTCATACATCACCACCTCCCAGAAGCTTCTGCTGGGGTCCCCATGACAGTGGCCAAGTCTCTGTTAGAGCACCTGGGGTCCCCATCTGCAGTGGCCAGGTCTCTGTTAGAGCACCTGGGGTCCCCACCACAGCAGCCAGGTGGTCTCCATTAGAGCACCTGGGGTCTGTTAGAATACGGAGCACCCTGGGACCTCCTCACTGTCTCCCTCCCTCATTCGCCCCTGCAACCCTACACACCGGGGCCAGGGAATGCATTTTATCTTCTGCTCTAATTCCATGGCTGTGCTTAGAGCACCGTGACCAATTAGCTGTCTGCCAGGGAGGGCTGGAGGGCAGCCTGAGAGCCATCCATTTTTAGGGCATAGGACCTCTCCCTATTGTGCACGAGGATCTTGAATAAAACGTTTATTGAATCCAATTATATTTAATCTACCTTCCCGCGTGGAAGAGGCCATGATGAGAGAGGACATGGGTGGCAGCTGAAAATCCTTAGAGTTCCCAGAACAGTCTTGATTCCTGATACCTTATTTCTTCATTTCAGATACACATTTTCTATGTTTTTAATATCTCCCAAACTCGGATGTATGTTTTAATCAAAGGCATAGATTTAACATTCTACTCACACCTCAAGGCCCACAAAAAGTTATAATGTGTAACTGGTGCGTCTTAGAAGAGAATATGGTTTCCTGTCAAAGTAGCCCCCAGAGCTCACAGATTCTTGGGTCTGAAAATCTGACCACCATATGCCCAGAACAAAGCGATCTCTGCTCTAGAGCTTCAGGGAGCCTAAAGCGGGGCCCCAGAGTTCTTTCTGTGGG